GGTGGGAGGGCGGGTGGGAGGGCTGTATGGTCGAATTGAACAGACGGGTCCGAGCCTAGCGAGCAGACATACTCAGGGAGTGAGAGGAGAGGAAGTGAGTCAACATTGACGGGGGGAGACGAAGAATCCTCCCCTCTTTGTTCATCCGCTAGGCCCGCGCCACCTGTACTGTCCTTGGTGGTGTTGGCATTGGAGGAGGCAGGTTTGGAGGCAGCCGGTTTGGAGGCGGCAGGTTCGGAGGTGGTAGGTTTGGGGGCAGCAGGTTCGGAGGTGGTAGGTTCGGAGGCGGCAGGTTTGGCAGTGGCAGGGTCGGAAGACAGAGGTTGGGTGAAGGTTGGTAGGGAAGGGAGGAAGGAGGAGAGAGGGAGAGATCCTAGCGCTCCTCCTGCAGTTGAGAAGCTGTTTGGATGTGTGATATGATGTGATGTGATGTGATGTGATGTGATGTGATGTGATGTGGTGTGAAGTGATGTGAAGTGATGTGAAGTGATGTGATGTGATGTGATGTGATGTGATGTGATGTGATGTGATGTGATGTGATGTGATGTGATATGATGTGAAGTGATGTGATGTGATGTAATGTTTCACACAAAGCAGCGACGAAACAGAAAGAAGCTATGAGGTTTAATGTTGCAGTGTTGCAGAAAAAGTTGGGAGAAAGGCGAGGGAAAGGTCAGAAGTGCGGTGAGTGTGGGTGGGACAAAGGAATGAAGGAGAAAGGATCGGAAAAAGCAATGCACTGTGACATGAAAGAAAAGAAATCTTAACTCATAAACACTGCACCGCACTGCACCATGCCATACTCCATCCCTAAACACCACCCTGCACCATGGCATGCCACCACTCCATACCCCACCCCATCCCCCACCCACCGCACTGCTCTGAGGCAAAACCCTCTCCCCACCGCACTGCACCATTACGTACCCCTGGGAGTGGCAGAAGCGACAGCTGGCCCCGTTCCGGCATGTGATTGGCTGCAGCAGGAACTGCTGACTGCGGCCGGGTCTGGTTGGATTGAAGACATTGCAAAGGGAAGGGAAAGGTATCAACTGGAGTTCAGTGGTAAGAGCTCAGGGGAGCTTAGCGTTAGGGTTTAGACATCGCAAAAAGGAAACCAGCAAAATCTGCCCACCTTTCAGTGGGAACATAGTTGTTTGTTTGTTAGAGGAGGCCGTGGGCTTCACCCTTTCAACAGTTGTCAAAAGTGACTTTTGAGGCGCCTCTTGAGGCGACTTTTGAGGCGGCTCAAAAGTCGTTTCAGTGGGAACGTAGTTGTTAGAGGAGGCCATGGGCTTCACTCTCTCAACAGCTGTCAAAAGTGGGTTACAAGGAATTTGCTCACCTTTCAGCGAGAATAGTCTTTAGAGGAGGCCATGGGCTTCATTTTCGAGGCTTGTCAGAGGTGTTTTTAGGAGAGAGAATCTGCTCGCTCACCTTTCAGTGGGAACGTAGTCCTTAGAGGAGGCCACACAATACCCATCTGGGAACTCTCAAAAGTGATTTAAAAAAAAAATGCTCACCTTTCAGTGGGAACGTAGTCCTTAGAGGAAGCCACACAATACCCATCTGGGAACTCTCAAAAGTGATTTTAAAGGAATCTGCTCACCTTTCAGTGGGAACGTAGTCCTTAGAGGAGGCCACACAATACCCATCTGGGAACTCTCAAAAGTGATCTTAAAGGAATCTGCTCACCTTTCAGTGGGGACGTAGTCCTTAGAGGAGGCCATACAATACCCATCTGGGAACTCCCAAAAGTGATCTTAAAGGAATCTGCTCACCTTTCAGTGGGAACGTAGTCCTTAGAGGAAGCCACACAATACCCATCTGGGAACTCTCAAAAGTGATTTTAAAAAAATCTGCTCACCTTTCAGTGGGAACGTAGTCCTTAGAGGAAGCCACACAATACCCATCTGGGAACTCTCAAAAGTGATTTTAAAGGAATCTGCTCACCTTTCAGTGGGAACGTAGTCCTTAGAGGAGGCCACACAATACCCATCTGGGAACTCTCAAAAGTGATCTTAAAGGAATCTGCTCACCTTTCAGTGGGGACGTAGTCCTTAGAGGAGGCCATACAATACCCATCTGGGAACTCCCAAAAGTGATCTTAAAGGAATCTGCTCACCTTTCAGTGGGAACGTAGTCCTTAGAGGAAGCCACACAATACCCATCTGGGAACTCTCAAAAGTGATTTTAAAAAAATCTGCTCACCTTTCAGTGGGAACGTAGTCCTTAGAGGAAGCCACAGAATACCCATCTGGGAACTCTCAAAAGTGATTTTAAAGGAATCTGCTCACCTTTCAGTGGGAACGTAGTCCTTAGAGGAGGCCACACAATACCCATCTGGGAACTCTCAAAAGTGATCTTAAAGGAATCTGCTCACCTTTCAGTGGGGACGTAGTCCTTAGAGGAGGCCATACAATACCCATCTGGGAACTCCCAAAAGTGATCTTAAAGGAATCTGCTCACCTTTCAGTGGGAACGTAGTCCTTAGAGGAAGCCACACAATACCCATCTGGGAACTCTCAAAAGTGATTTTAAAAAAATCTGCTCACCTTTCAGTGGGAACGTAGTCCTTAGAGGAAGCCACAGAATACCCATCTGGGAACTCTCAAAAGTGATTTTAAAGGAATCTGCTCACCTTTCAGTGGGAACGTAGTCCTTAGAGGAGGCCACACAATACCCATCTGGGAACTCTCAAAAGTGATCTTAAAGGAATCTGCTCACTTTCAGTGGGGACGTAGTCCTTAGAGGAGGCCATACAATACCCATCTGGGAACTCTCAAAAGTGATCTTAAAGGAATCTGCTCACCTTTCAGTGGGGACGTAGTCCTTAGAGGAGGCCATACAATACCCATCTGGGAACTCCCAAAAGTGATCTTAAAGGAATCTGCTCACCTTTCAGTGGGAACGTAGTCCTTAGAGGAAGCCACACAATACCCATCTGGGAACTCTCAAAAGTGATTTTAAAAAAATCTGCTCACCTTTCAGTGGGAACGTAGTCCTTAGAGGAAGCCACAGAATACCCATCTGGGAACTCTCAAAAGTGATTTTAAAGGAATCTGCTCACCTTTCAGTGGGAACGTAGTCCTTAGAGGAGGCCACACAATACCCATCTGGGAACTCTCAAAAGTGATCTTAAAGGAATCTGCTCACCTTTCAGTGGGGACGTAGTCCTTAGAGGAGGCCATACAATACCCATCTGGGAACTCTCAAAAGTGATCTTAAAGGAATCTGCTCACCTTTCAGTGGGGACGTAGTCCTTAGAGGAGGCCATACAATACCCATCTGGGAACTCCCAAAAGTGATCTTAAAGGAATCTGCTCACCTTTCAGTGGGAACGTAGTCCTTAGAGGAAGCCACACAATACCCATCTGGGAACTCTCAAAAGTGATTTTAAAAAAATCTGCTCACCTTTCAGTGGGAACGTAGTCCTTAGAGGAAGCCACAGAATACCCATCTGGGAACTCTCAAAAGTGATTTTAAAGGAATCTGCTCACCTTTCAGTGGGAACGTAGTCCTTAGAGGAGGCCACACAATACCCATCTGGGAACTCTCAAAAGTGATCTTAAAGGAATCTGCTCACCTTTCAGTGGGGACGTAGTCCTTAGAGGAGGCCACACAATACCCATCTGGGAACTCTCAAAAGTGATCTTAAAGGAATCTGCTCACCTTTCAGTGGGGACGTAGTCCTTAGAGGAGGCCATACAATACCCATATGGGAACTCCCAAAAGTGATCTTAAAGGAATCTGCTCACCTTTCAGTGGGAACGTAGTCCTTAGAGGAAGCCACACAATACCCATCTGGGAACTCTCAAAAGTGATTTTAAAAAAATCTGCTCACCTTTCAGTGGGAACGTAGTCCTTAGAGGAAGCCACAGAATACCCATCTGGGAACTCTCAAAAGGGATTTTAAAGGAATCTGCTCACCTTTCAGTGGGAACGTAGTCCTTAGAGGAGGCCACACAATACCCATCTGGGAACTCTCAAAAGTGATCTTAAAGGAATCTGCTCACCTTTCAGTGGGGACGTAGTCCTTAGAGGAGGCCATACAATACCCATCTGGGAACTCTCAAAAGTGATCTTAAAGGAATCTGCTCACCTTTCAGTGGGGACGTAGTCCTTAGAGGAAGCCACACAATACCCATCTGGGAACTCTCAAAAGTGATTTTAAAAAAATCTGCTCACCTTTCAGTGGGAACGTAGTCCTTAGAGGAAGCCACACAATACCCATCTGGGAACTCTCAAAAGTGATTTTAAAGGAATCTGCTCACCTTTCAGTGGGAACGTAGTCCTTAGAGGAGGCCACACAATACCCATCTGGGAACTCTCAAAAGTGATCTTAAAGGAATCTGCTCACCTTTCAGTGGGGACGTAGTCCTTAGAGGAGGCCACACAATACCCATCTGGGAACTCTCAAAAGTGATCTTAAAGGAATCTGCTCACCTTTCAGTGGGGACGTAGTCCTTAGAGGAGGCCATACAATACCCATCTGGGAACTCCCAAAAGTGATCTTAAAGGAATCTGCTCACCTTTCAGTGGGAACGTAGTCCTTAGAGGAGGCCACACAATACCCATCTGGGAACTCTCAAAAGTGATTTTAAAAAAATCTGCTCACCTTTCAGTGGGAACGTAGTCCTTAGAGGAAGCCACACAATACCCATCTGGGAACTCTCAAAAGTGATTTTAAAGGAATCTGCTCACCTTTCAGTGGGAACGTAGTCCTTAGAGGAGGCCACACAATACCCATCTGGGAACTCTCAAAAGTGATCTTAAAGGAATCTGCTCACCTTTCAGTGGGGACGTAGTCCTTAGAGGAGGCCACCCATCTGGGAACTCTCAAAAGTGATCTTAAAGGAATCTGCTCACCTTTCAGTGGGGACGTAGTCCTTAGAGGAGGCCATACAATACCCATCTGGGAACTCCCAAAAGTGATCTTAAAGGAATCTGCTCACCTTTCAGTGGGAACGTAGTCCTTAGAGGAGGCCACGGGCACTCCGCGCTCATCCACCTCCACCTGTTAGGGGGAGAGCGATGGGGGAGAGCGATGGGGGAGAGGCATGGGGGAGAGAGGGACAGGGAGAGCGATGGGGGAGAGAGGGGCAGGGAGAGAGATGGGGGAGAGAGGGGCAGGGAGAGAGATGGGGGAGAGAGGGGCAGGGAGAGAGATGGGGGAGAGAGGGGCAGGGAGAGAGATGGGGGAGAGAGGGACAGGGAGGTGGTTGTTTTTTAGTCGGCTCTATCTTCATATCAGGGATGGGGGAGAGGGATGGGGGAGAGGGATGGGGGAGAGGGATGGGGGAGAGGGATGGGGTAGAGGGATGGGAGAGAGGGATGGGGGAGAGGGATGGGGGAGAGGGATGGGGGAGAGGGATGGGGGAGAGGGATGGGGGAGAGGCATGGGGGAGAAGGATGGGGGAGAGGGATGGGGGAGAGGGATGGGGGAGAGGGATGGGGGAGAGGGATGGGGGAGAGGGATGGGGGAGAGGCATGGGGGAGAGGGATGGGGGAGAGGGATGGGAAGGAAAAGGAGAGAAGGGGAGAAGGATGGGGGGACATAGCCTTAGAGGAAGCCACGCGCACTCCGCGCTCATCCACCTCTACCTGTTAGAGGAGAGGCATGGGGGAGAGAGGCGAGGGGGAGGGATGGGGGAGAGGGGAGGGGGCGAAGGATGGAGAGAAGGGAGGGATAGAGGGACGGGGGAATAGGAGAGGTTCAGTCAGAGGTGAAATTTCAGTTGAATCTAACGACATCCGTAGGCTACTCAGTAACCACCTCTCACCTCGTATACTATCAGCCCGCTTTATGGTAAGGTTGACCGGCTAGGATGCGTCTCATCGCATTTCCTTATTGATCACGGCCAAGAATCCGTCTCATTCTGAAAACTATTTTCAGTCCGCTGTGCGGCAACTGCATGGGGTTAAGACCTAACAACATTCTTTGTTAATACGGACTTCAATCGGTCGTACCTCGCACACTATGAGTCCGCTGTGCGGTAAGGGCGGGCGACTAAGAACACAGCGCGTTTTTAACTAAATCGGTCTCACCTCGCACACTATTAGTCCGCTGTGCGGTAATGGCGGGCGACGCCACGAGTGCGGCTCGACGGCGAGCAAATGGGAGACGAACACGTCAGCAGAGAGTTGCTGGCGAATCAGCTCCGACGCCTCGACCAGCGATAGCGACTGCGATTGGCCCATGCTGACGTGGAACTGCAGATTTCCCTTCCGATTTCCCGCCTCAGGTGTTTCGCACTAGGACCGAAGATCAAGCGGCATAATGGGACAGTGGCTCTCGAGATTTCTTTCGAATCCTTTGCAAGCGCTTCAATTCGCCGAATCTCCTGGCGGAATAACACAGAAAATGTGGCTCAATGAACCAAACTCGCGTATTTTCCGTCGCCTATGTCTGTAGCCTAGAAGGTCGAACTAGGCTTGTAAAATTGGCGAAAACGAATGCGGAGGTCAAGCAACGCGGAACAATGCGGAGGTCAAGCAAAACGGACCATCCAACACAGCAGTGAGCGGAAGCGATGCCTAATGTCCGTGACTCCCTAAGAATTCGAGGACGGCCTAGAAACCTCCTCCCACCACAAGATCCCAATCCATGATGCAACCCGTGGCTCCTTGAGAAGCATTGATGGGTGGTGTGGTGGGGACGACTGGCAGTCTGTTGTCACAGCGCCTGCTTGCCTCCCAACTGTTGAACTCGAGGCGAACAGAAACAAGGCCCAGATTCTACCTTGCAGCTGCGAACGCTTTCGCACGGCTTTTGCGAGATGGCCGGCGAGTGGTGGAGAACAGCGAATTCGGTTGGTGGAGTGGGCTGATGTGAGCTGGAATACGGTGGTGTAAGGTGGAGTGGGTTGAGGTGAAGAGTAGTTGTGTGAAGAATTTGAGGCGATGTCTCGATAGAGGCCCATACAGTACGCATCAACATTCTCTCAATCTTCTCAGTAGTGCTCGAATCAACCAATACACCATGGGTATTAAAGTGATACTGCAATTATAGTGTAGACAAGGAACTGCCAAGGGAGGGATGCCTACTGTGTTCCTTTACCATGTAATATAAACTCTCAACGGTTGATAATTTGTGTCTCTTGGATAGTTCTTGAGGTGGTCGCGCATGCCTTATAGATTTCCATATTAATGTCCGTCATAATGAAATGTAGCGTTGAAAGATGAGACGGTCATTGTTTTTGCGTCGCGCCTGTACGCTGTCGCGGAGTACCTTACATACGCTTGAAATCTCAAATGTCAGCTAGCAAAAAGACAAGCAAATACGGACAAGGTGACGCGACGCGAATAGCACTCCCGTGAGAGGAGCGGAGAACATCGAGTCGCGGTTGAGCATTTCACATCACAACAAGCCCCCCCCCCCTCCACACCACACCTTCCACCGCCACTAAGGAATTTCCTGAGTGGACTCGCGCGGTCCGGACGGTGGTTCGGGCTGGGGGGAAGAGGTTGTACATGTACAAATGCAGAGCCTCACCTCATTTCCATCCATCAATCATTCGAACAAACGCAACCAGCTCTCAGCTACATTTGACTTTTCTTCAGCCTACCCATTCCACATCAAACGCATTTTAGGCTCTCAACCCTAGATCATTCGACATTTAGAAACAACGATTCGATTGTCTTCAGCCACCATTTCAGCACCCCCATTTCCGCATTAGTACCTGTTTATAGAAACTATGGCATGCAATTTGAAGATCGAGATTACAGCATCCAGCGAGCTCTCTAGCAGATACACGCTCAAGGAGTTTTTAGGCGAGGGTCAGTACGGTACAGTGTGGCGCTGCGAGGAGCGCACGACGGGCGAACATTTCGCTCTCAAGTACATCGACCTCACCAAGTGCAGCAGCAGGGCCCGCCTCGCAGCTCTCAGCGAAGTCGAGATCCTCCAAAAGATCCGCGATTCTGGCTTCTCCGATAGTGTCGTATCACTCAAGGACGTGTACGGGGACAACAATTCGCTTTATCTTGTAATGGAGCTGTGCACTGGAGGGGATCTTCTCGAGCTCATCCAGAATCAGCCCGGCGCGTTCATCAGCGAGGCGGAGTCGCGCCACGTGTTCGCGTCCGTGGCGCGCGCCGTGAAGCAGTGCCACGCCAGCAGCATCGTCCACCGCGACATCAAACCCGAAAACATTCTCATCTGCCCGACTTCAAAAAGCGTCCCCGCCACCGCTGCCGCATCAGATAACGGCGCCGCGTCGTTCTCGTACACCGCGAAGCTCGCAGATTTCGGGCTCGCTGTGGACGTGCCGTGGTTGCAGCAGATTCGCGGGTATGCCGGCAGCAAGCCGTATGAGGCGCCGGAGGTTATGGCGGGGGGTGCGTACGACGAGTCGGCGGACATCTGGAGCCTCGGCGTGACTCTCTACGCGATGCTTTCGGGAAAGTGGCCGCTCTTTAGCGGCGGGAAGCGGGTCCTCGACGAGAAGGCGGATTTCGCATCGGACTGGAAGAACGTGTCAGGAGATGCGAAGGATCTCATCCGTCGGATGCTGTGTGTGGACGTGAACGAACGGTTCACGATTGAGGATGTTGTGGCGCATCCGTGGGTGCGTCCAGCAGTCGAGGCAGTGACTCAGGAAGCGATGGAGACCGCCGATCTGTCCGACGGACGAAAGGCTGCTGTTGATTCCGACACGGCGGGAAGCATGTCGTCGGCGAGTGCAACCAGCAGCATGGACAGTGATTTCGGGAGCAACGCGGAGAAGCCGCGCTGGGGCGGAAAGTTATCTCCGCGCACCGTTCTGAACCGCGTCAAGCAGGCCTTCTCCCCTCTGATGCGTCAGAAGGAGGCACCGTGCATCCCCATCGAAGTTCTCTAAGCATCTTCGTTTATGGGTGATCCTGCACAAGCATTTGGAGCTCTTGGTGTAGGCTAGACTTTTTACTCAGTTATAGGACAACAGGAAGAGTTGCTGTGGTGCCCGGAGATCAGAGGTTACGATCCCGAGCACCCTAGCAACTCATTCCTTACATTGTGTTACGAGTGCAATTGAGTGAACGAACGAGAATTGCACTATCGAAGCAAGAGTACAATGAGCGAAGGCATGAGCGAAGAATATATAGCGAAACTACAGTGGTAACGGTAATGGACTGTGGTTGTCGCGCGACGGGCCTGGGACTGAGGTTGGGAAAAGTGTCGAAGCGGAGGCCCGGAGCGCGGGTTACCCGCCGAGCCGTGAGGTCGGGGTGCGAAGTGCGAAGGTGGCGGGCGGATTGTCGATGCGAGGATTGCGAGTGGTAACGGTGCTGACTGTGGTGCTACAGTGATGTACGCGTTGAGCAGGGACGCGAAGTAAGGAAAAAGAGATTTTCCTTACACATTGAAGTGTCTGTATTATTGATTTCCTTATACAAATAATGCATCCAGCAAGCAAGTCTGGATGCTTCCAGGCAAACAGGGTTCAATGCATCCAAGGCTGTTCAGGTCAGATGGAAGCAAAAACTGTTCAATGCAGCCAAAAGCGTTGCAGTTTGGCTGATTACGGTCCAGAGCGGTGCTCCCAACGCATTATCGAAGGTGCAGCATTTTCCCATTTCCAGGGTTTGGCAAGGTGGTCGTCTCTGTGGCGTTGTTACCTCGTTTTATCGCGTGTCACCGTACAGAAACACTGTTCACCTTTTGCCGCCTAGGATGTAACCAGAAGAACCTTTCTGCCACGACCCTGCAATCCCATTGGCGTTCACCACTGACAGATACACCTCAGATTTTACTTCTTGTGCGAATGTTCCACTCACCGAAAACACACCTGACCCTCGTATACTTCCTTTTGCACCTTTGTCTACCGTACAAACATTCTCTGCAACGCATTCTATCGAACACTCTAGCCAAGCTGAAGATATTTTTGCCGCTTCTGGCAATCTCAGTTCTTGGATTCGGCGCATGGGGACTTCAACGGACCACAAACAGTTCACCACGTCAATAGTTGTTGAATTATTAGGTTTTCTTGGCTACGCCTGCCTTGCTCCTGGATTTTCAGACTTCGTATGCGGCTTTAGTGTCGACTCGGCCCAGTTTTAATCTTGCTACTCGTGCGCGTTAATCAAGATGTTGGCTGTTCACATCGGTATACGTAGCTTAGTACATATGTGTATCATATAGGGACCGTGGCGTCAGCACGTAATTTGCGTATTAGCAGCCAGAAACTCGACAAAGAGCTATATATCGGAGCTGCTTCAATGAGAGCCATCACGAAAAACGGCAGGAGGCTCGGCCCTGAGCCGTATGCGGCGCGCAGTCAGCTGTCTCCCGTGCTTGCATCCCCCTTCCCCTCCCGCTCATCCTCAATATCTACGTATGGGGATGCTTCTCCTTCTCTGCTAGCCAAGCAGCGTTGTAAGCGAGGCTCCGCGCGCAGTCAGCCGCGCAGCAGCTGGGGGGACGCAGCCGCGCGCAGTCACACGCGCAGTCACGCGCGCAGTCACGCGCGGAGTCAGGCGGTCAATCAGGCGCTATGTTGCCTCGTCGCGTTCCTAGCAGTCGCGTGTCAGCATGTCGCCCCGGTTGCTGGCGTCATCATCATGATCGCTCCGGACAACGCCACGTACTCGTTTGAAGACGCTGACGCCGCGTTCGGTACACCCGCCGCTTCTCCCGCTCCCCCCTCCCCTCTGCTTCCCCCCCCCCCCCCACACCTCCCCATCCTCCCTCCACCCCCTTTTCCCCCCTTCATAAGAACGCATGGGATTCTGAATATTTCCTCTTTTCGCCTCTTATAAGCACACACACGCGTTGGGAAGTTTTTATAAGTAGACTCTTGAGCCGACTCAGAAGTTGCTGGCGTCATCATCATCATTGCTCCGAACAACGCCACGTACTCGTTTGAAGGCGCTTTTCAGTCTCTAATAGAACTTTATGGCAGTGTTGTCAATCTGTCTCTAGTACCGTAACGATCGATTTGTTGTGTTTTTCTTCTTTCAATCTTGACTTGCCTGTCACCTACGTGGCTCACTTTCCGCTTCCCCTTTCCCTCCACCCGCTTTTCCCACCCCTTAACTCGAGGCTGCCTCATCCCCTCTGCTCTCGAGTGTTGACTCACTTTCCGCTCCCCTTTCCCCCCCCGCCTTCCTTCCCCTTTTCTTTCCCCTTCCCCTTCTTATTCCGCTTTCCTACCGCTGCTCTTTCCCTTTCCGCCCGGTCTTCCTCCTCGCTTTCCTCTTCCCCCAGGCGGCCTCATCCCCTCGACGGGCATGCGCGGAGTGCTCCGCCGCGCCGTCCCCTACGACGCATGCGAGCCGCTCACGAATCCCGCGGGGGGGGAATCCGCGGAGGGGGAATCAGCGGGGGAATCGGCGGAGGGATTTAGGGAGGCGGAGTTTGTGCTTATAGAGAGGGGCAACTGCCTGTTCGACGTGAAGGCGCTGAACGCGCAGCGCGCGGGATACGCGGCCGCGGTGGTGTACGATAACGAGCCCGGGAAGAGGCTTATAACGAGTACGTGGTGTGGCGTGGCGTGGGGTGGAGTGGGGTGGGGTGGGGTGGGGTGGGGTGGAGTTGATAAGGGTAGGGCGGAGGGGGAATGGCGGAGGGGAAAATGGGAGGGGGAGTCGAAGGGGGGGAGGGAGGAGGGCAATGGCACATGTGGGGTATTGCCATTCCAGCAATCCTCCTCACTCAATCCTCCCCAGCAACTAGCGTGATTCACTCTTCATCTCTCGCTCCCACCTCCTCTCCCACGTGATATAAGTAGTGTTTTGAGACGTCTCAAAGCAATTCTCCTCACGCAATTCTCCTCACGCAATCCTCCTCACGCAATCCTCCTCACGCAATCCTCCACAGCAACTTGCGCCATTCACTCTCCATCTCTCACTCCCACCTCCTCTCCCACCTCCTCTCCCACCTCCTCTCCCACGTGATAACTGCGTGATAAAAGTAGTGTTTTGAGACGTCTCAACGCAATCCCCCTCACTCAACCCTCCCCAGCAACTAGCGCCATAAATTTTTCATCTCTCACTCCCACCTCCTCTCCTACCCACCCTCATCACAACCCTCCTCTCTCTCTTCCCACCCCTCTCCCAGTGTCAGGGCGGCACATGTGAGGGCATCACAATTCCAGCAGTTTTCGTCACTCAATCCTCTGGCCACGCCCTAACCAACATCATCAACCGCTTCCCCCTACCCTCCTTCCACCACCCCCTCTCTCCGCCCGTCCTCTTCCCCCCTCTCCCCTTCCCAGTGTCAGGGCGGCACATGTGGGGCATCGCCATTCCAGCAGTCTTCGTCACTCAATCCTCCGGCCACGCCCTTATCAACATCATCAACGGGTTTTCCCAACCATCCGACTCCTCCCCCTCCTCCGCCTCCGCCTCCTCCTCTCCCTTCTCCCCCTTCCCCTCCCCCTTCTCCCCATTCTCTCTCCCCTTCTCCTCCCCCGAATCTCCCCCTCCCATCTGCGTTCTCCTCCCTACCTTCGACAATGCGGCCTGGTCTGTAATTACCGCATCCCTAGTTTCCCTTCTCTCCCTCTCTATAGTCCTCGCCTCGTTTCTCTTTATAAGACGGCACAGGCTGCGGCAGGCTGTAGCAGCCGCCGCCACAGCCATGGGCGCGGGTGGCGCCGGTCGGCTGCTAGCGGCGCGTCAGGAGCCGCCCGGGCTGTCAGAGGAGGAGGTCAAGGCGCTTCCAGAATTGGTTTTCCCGCCAAAAGGGAAGCATTCGGGTAGTGTGTCAGTGTTTGGTGGTGGCTGTAGCAGGGTCGGCTGTAGCAGCTGTGGGGGAAAAGGGTTGAAGGGGACAGGGGTAGGTGGAAAGGAGGCAGGCGGGGCTGCAGCAGCATCTGTAGCAGCAGCTGTAGCATCACCAGAGGAAGGCGAATTAGGGAGGGAAAGAACAGCAGGACGAGCTACGGCTGTAGCAGCTGTAGCAGCAGCTATAGCACCGGAGCAGGCGGAGGAAAGCAGGCCACTGCTACCCAGTGGGTGTGTGGCTGTGTCAGTTGCAGATGGAAGCGAGGATGGTGATTGTAGCAGTGGTGATTGTATCGGTAGTGATACTAGTAGTGACGATGCTGCTGTTGCAATGGGAGCAGAGGGAGGAGAAGGAGGAAAGGGACGAGAGGGAGGAGAGGGAGGAGAGGGAGGAGAGGGAGGAGAGGGGACAGAGGGAGCAGTGGAAGCAGGGGGAGGAGAGGGAGGGGGCAGAGAGATGGAGACGTGTGCAATCTGCCTGGAGGACTATGAGTGGGGGGATAGGCTGCGCCTTCTGCCCTGCTCGCATGGTGAGTGAGCGGGGTGATATGATAGCACGGTGAGTCAAGAGGGGGATAGGTAGCAGGGAGGGCAGCAGGGGGGCCAAGGGGCAGGGAGATGGAGATGTGTGCGATTTGCCTGGAGGACTATGAGTGGGGGGGTAGGCTGTGCCTTCTGCCCTGCTCGCATGATGAGTTGACCAGTGGTTGACCTGTGGTTGACCAGTGTTGACCAATGGTTGACCAGTGCCCGTTTTGCCTCTCCATTGACTCTCTCTTTCTTCGCTGTTCTCTCCCCAGTACCTCCCTCGCTCCTTCCGCCTGCAGAGTCTCCCCAATGGTTGACTGCGTTGAGTTGACCACGGGTTGACCACCCACTGCCCATGCTGCCTCGTTATCCTCACAGCTCTCTGTTCGCTGTGCACTGCTCCAATTGTAATGAGGTTACTTTTGAGGCGTCTCTATGTGGCTTCTCAAATAACCTCATTACACGTGGCTTCTGTCTGTTCGCTGTTCAATTTCTCTGTCTGCACGGCTCCAATTTCTCTGTCTGCACGGCTCCAATTTCTCTGTCTGCACGGCTCCAATTTCTCTGTCTGCACGGCTCCAATTTCTCTGTCTGTACGGCTCCAATTTCTCTGTCTGCACGTTACCTGCAGAGCTCCGTGTTGACTGCGTTGACCAGTGGTTGACCACCCGCCACCCGTTCTGCCTCTCTACTCACTTCATTCTGGCTTTGCTCTGCTTTTCTCCAATACCTCTTTCTCCTTTCTTGCCTGCAGAGTTTCACGTTGACTGCGTTGACCAGTGGTTGACCACCCGCCGCCCTTTCTGCCCCGTCTGCAAGCGAGACGCACACCCCCCCATGCACCCCTCCCCCTCCTCCCCTCCTCCTCTCACCTCCGCTTCCTCCTCCACCACCACCACTACCGCTGCTGCTCTAGCCTCCTCTTCCTCTGTCGCTGCTTCGACTGCTCTCTTTGTCTCCTCCCTGCTCTACCCCCTCATCCGCTCCTTCTCTCTCCTCCCACCCCTGCCCACCGCATCCAACTCCTCCAATCCATTTTCCACCGCACCCAACACCTCAAATTCCGCATCTGGAAGCAGCAGGAGAACCAGACCCTCCCGACCCTCCTCCTCTTCTTCCACCTCCTCCTCTTCCTCCTCCTCCTCCCTCTCCTCTCCATCTCCCCACTCTCCCACAAACCCGGTTACTGCACTCCACCCTCCCGGACTCTCCCTCTCCTCCTTCCCTCCCTCGGTCACCCCACCCACCTCCATCCCCACTCTCCCTCCCTCCCACTTCCCCACTCCAAGGTTCATCGCAGCTTCAACCGCCTCCTCCTCCTCACTCTCTCCCCCTGACCCTTCCCGGGAACCCTTCTTGCTGCATCACCCTTCGAGAGACTCAGACGATGATGAGACGGGGGAGATTAGACCTGTTCCTATGCCTGGGTTCACCCCACCGTCACCCACACCTCCTCATTTGGAGGTCTCGAATTGAGTCGATTTTCTAGTCAACTAAAGAAAACGACCCTTTTTGCTGCATCACCCTTCGAGGGATTCAGATGATGAAGAGACGGGGGAGATCAGACCGGTTCCCATACCAGGGCTCATCCCACCGTCACCTACATCCCCTCAATTGCAGGTCTCAAACTGAGTGGACCCTAAAATTGACCCTTCCTGCCGCATCACCTTACTAGGGTAGGGACTCAAATGATGAGCCCACTCATTTGCAGGGTTACAGATTGAATGGTACACTTATTTGTTGTGTTTTCGTCTCTTGGGGTGTTGTTTACTGTTCAATCCAAGGCTGGAATGCCACCATCCCTTTCTAAAAACTTTGGGGCAAGGACACATACCTACGGGTATGTTGCATGCATGTGGGCATGGTAGCCATATGGTGTTATCAGTTCTGGCGATCACCCTGCCTAAAGGCGTGTAAGATCCCCGTGCACACAAATTCGGCCACCAAAATTAGGTGGCTGTTGCGAAAGTAAGCATGTCGCGACCGTCGTCCATACCGTAGGTCTACGAAACTCGCCGATTTCGACCATCAAATTTGTGATTTGGTGGCCGAAAAACAAGTCGACTCTTTTCCGACACATGGTCGACTTCAAATCGGCCATGTTGTCGACAACAGCTGGCTACAGTGAAAAACGATGTCGCATATGCTGCTACAGTGAAATCACAACGTCGCATACAGATGTACCCTAATTACCCGTGTATACGACCCCCTCCAGTTATACCCCCCTAAACGGCTCCTAGTAACATTATAAGATCCCCCCCACATCCTAGAGAAGTGCGGATTTTACAAAAATGCAGCCCGCACAAAGCGTGCATGGGGTGTGAAGGCCGAGGCGACACTGCGCACTGGGCCATCAAACGGTGCCCTGCGCTGTCGTGTTAACACAAAGTGGCCTTTGTGGCCAATAGGAGGAAGCTCCCAGTTAGGGTTCGTGATGACGTGGGTATGGCCCGTGTGGAGCAGGGCTCTCGCTAGGTTCTGGGGCTGTCTGACAGTACCCTGAAAAAAAATTCCCCCGTCTTACGCTCGGATGACGAAATTTACATGGTCTGCATTATAAGCTGGAATAGTTTTTCTAGTCTGATAAATAAGACGAAAAAAAAATCCTGTTAAAAGTCAACCTATTGTAATCCTACCAGCAAGTCTAGTCATACCGTAGTACCTAACAACCTAGCTGCAGTAGCAAAGGACTTAGTCAGAGTCACTAGAGCCGTACACTTCATTGCTATCAGTATCATCCTCGCTAACAACTGACTCTAGGACAGTGGCCCTTTCTTTCCTGCTAAGCCACGGGTACTCAGCATCCATCCTTGCTGCTTCTGCTGCAAGGGCCGCTTCTCGAGCAGCCGCTTCTGCTGCTGCCAGTGCTGCTGCTGCTGCTGCAGCTGCGGCCGATCTTTTCTTCGCACGCTTGCTCGGTCTCTCCCCGGACGCCATCAGCACATCATTCGCAGGCCTGCGCTTCTTGGAAGCATTCCACCTCCTCAGTAACTCGGGCCACTCCATGTCGTAGTTAAGGAGCGAGACGGCCATCAGCTCTCCTAGCTTCACGTCATATCCCGCGAAGCCAGCTTTTGATGATGTTCTGCCGTGAAAAGCCGCGCTCACACTCGACGGTACTGAGCGGAAGCACGGCGACGGCCATCCACAGGTGGACGAGGTTCGGGTAGCATGTCGCCCAGTCGGGGGAGGACAGCATGAGCTTCAGGCCGTCCGCAAACCCAACATCCTCCTGGTGTGAGGCCATGATTGCGGAAAAGGTGACGATCTCCCTCTGCGCTCTCGCCCAGTTGATGCCTGCGGTTGGGGTGCGCATGGGGACAGTGAGACAGGAGATCATAAAGGGTTGAAACATGCAGCTGAAAGAGAATTCTGAAGACTATAGCAGCACATTCTTGGCATTTGACGCACCTGGTAGAGTATCAGGGTCTTCTGGCTTCTTCTTGAACATGTTGCGCAGAGACTGGAGCCATTGGCCTAGCCTTCGCTCACGCTTTGCCTGGTTCTTGGGATACGATCCCTGCTTGAACAGCTTCGCCCCGTCGAGGTATGAAAGATCCTTGGGTTAGCACTGAGAGAGGTAGTAGCGACAGATACTGCAGGGATGCTCTTATTTGCACCGTTGTCTGGCATCCGAGAAGTTACTAGCGTAGTAGGGGTAGCGGTTGATGGCACGGAATGATCGCCATTTACCGAGATTGGAGCATCGCCTTCGGGCAAAGGGACCGCAGCAGAGGTCGACGCAATCGGTGGGGCAACAGAAGCGATCTGCTTGCCCCGCGTTAGGAAGTCTAACGCCGTAAGCACGGGCTCCGCATCGCATGGTCCGCCGGCGGGGACGGCCATAGTCTAAACGCTGGGAAATCAGACGCTGGGAGGGATACGGTCCATGCTCGGCTGAGTGAGAGTTGAGGACAAGCAGGAGAAACAGGCTTGTTTTCAAGCCTCACCCAGCTGCATGAAACCCCATCACCGTGCACTGCATTCAGAACCGAAAGGCGCTGCGTATTGGGAGCGGGGGGCACTACGACCACAGTGCAATGTTGCGTGTCGTCTAGGAAATGCAAATGCGCTGGCAGTGGCACAACGGGACAACGCGTTGCCGTGGTTGTGGCTGGCGTCGGCGCCGACAGCCAGCCACACGACAAACTCCTGGCAGCATATGCCGCAGTTACATGACAGCGAGGCTGCTATAAGACACGCGTATTGAATGCGCGTGCTGTTACAGAGCAGCAAATGGCTGTACCTGTGGTCCTATCCTCTGGTCCACTGGGCATATGGCCTAGTGGGTCAAGATGTCGGTTTCAGACGAAACCGAACTCGATATCTGTATATTCAGATTAAAGCTCAAGTCCCAAATTGCGGATCGCGCAGGTCATGATTAGTAATCTTGATGGTTTGCTAATAGGAAACTTGTGAACCAGCACGTTGCAACTTGGGACTTCGGAAACCAAAGACGAAGCCCCCACCCCTTGAAAGTGTAGCGAAGGGTTGGGCGAAAGTGTAACACCCCTCGCTCAACACCCCCGCCCAGTTTTGTGAGTGCCTCCCCCACAGCCCAGCGGTCAACCTTAGTAAGGTTGAACAATTTGGGCCTTGAGCTTTAAGAATTCTGCACGTCTGGAAAAATCATACGAACCTAAAACGCTCATCTTACTGATCAGATGAGAACAAACACAGATTCTTAGGAAGCAGATGAATACAAAAAATCAAGTCTTAAACTCAGACCATCAGACCAAATTGGTCTGATAACGAGAGCCCTGGTGTGGAGACCAATTCGAGTATTTTTGGGAGGAGCTAAAAACGGAGCAATTCCAAATCACTTCTTTGAGCTCCAAAACTACATTCTTATAAATGTCAATCTGAAAAGACCCGGGTCGTATAAAATATATACCATTTAATTTTACCCCCCAGCTTTTCGAGGGGTGATTATCATAAGACCCTAGGGTCTTATATACGGGTGATTACGGTACGAAACCGTCGCACCAAGTCGTCATAAAGAACAAAACGAAATCTTCAGCCTTCGCTGCAACGGCCAGCAAATCCGACGCAAAACGTGTCAGATTTGGAGGCCACACTGATTTGGCCGAGAATTTGTCGACCTGATTACGATCAATCTGTCGACCTTCGTCAAAATAATACGGTATGTAGAATAATATGTTTAGTACTGCATACAACTGTACAGAGCTCTACAACTGAAAGTACCGTATGTACTAATATGAAACACTACTAGGATCTAGCACACTACTGCGCTACTGGCAGGCCTATCACGCATTTTGCCGGCCTCTGAATTCGCAGGAGCTGCTGCAATCAATGAAGGGGAAAGGGACTCTGGTCGGAACAGGTCGGAGCGTGTGACAGGAGGAGGTGGAAGCTGATTGGATGATGGAGGTTGGGATTGGGGGATGAGATGAGTAAGGAAAGGGGAGGGCGGAATGTGGAGGAAGGAGGAAAGAGGGAGGAGGGTGGAGGTGAGGGAGGAGGATGTGGTAGGGGTGAGGAGGGAAGGAGGAGGGAATGGGGAAAGAAGGGGAGGAGGATGGAGGGAGGAGGGAGTTGCACATTTGCCCAAACCTGAGAGGTCGAGGGAAGATGGGCAATTGGGCAACTCTCCCTGTGATGCCAATTCAAATCAGCGGCCATGCCTGAGTGGAGTACGGTACCTTGCGAAGTAACAAAGAATCATCTTCTGTAGTAGCACGGTAACGGTAACCTTGCGGCAAAGAATTCTTGAGAGTGGGCTGTTGTCGCAAGCTCCGCCGCCCGTTTACGCTGCGATTGGGCGGCTCTGCCTGGCACCTGCCGCCCCGTCAACTGACTGCGAGAGGCAGACAGCTGTCGGCGCCACACGAGACGATCCTCGCCGCCCGGCGCGCATCTTGAAAGCCAGGTACGTGGGAACCACGTGCTTCAACGCTGCTGCTGCGTGCTTGGGGCTGCTGAAGTAATTTCCACGAGGAGAGTTTTTCTTCGGGCTGACCAGGTGCTCTGAAGCTTCGGGAACAGAAATTTCCAGCTTGTTGGTCGCAGGTTTGGATAAGTTAGGCTCGGGAAAGTCAGGTTGGGGGAACTTGATGTCAGGGATTGCAACAAGGGCGGAAAAAGCGGCGGGAAACGCGGCGGAGACGTCATCTGCTGTGTTGAAGCGGCGGGAGGGCGGAGGGGGAGGTGGAGCCAGCCACGTGTCAGCGAGTATTTGGTCGATCGTGGGGCGCATGAGGGGGTCCACGGCGAGCATCCAACGGATGAGATTCTTTGCGTCGTCCGAGATCGACGACCAGCAGGACGCCTCCCAATCCGCGATATCGTCGAGCTCTCTAACGTTATTACGGAACAGAGGCCAGGTTCCCGAAAGCATCGCGTACAGTAACACGCCGAGGCTCCAGATATCAGCAGATTCATCGTACGGCTCTAAAGCCATCACTTCAGGCGCTTCGTATGGGTAGCTCCCCGCGTACCCAACCACCTGCTGCCAGCGTGGCAGCTCCAGCGACAGGCCGAAATCTGTGAGTTTCGCGACGTGTTGCGGGTTACCCGCCGCGGAGGACGATTGCGAAAGGTTGTGCGAAAAAGAATCCGTCGCAGCGACTCCGGGAGCAGTTTTCTTCGGGCAGAGAAGGATGTTCTCGGGTTTGATGTCGCGATGAACTATGCTGTGATCGTGACACTCTTTAACGGCGCGAGCCACCGACGCGAAAATATCTCGTGACTCCGCTTCGCTAAGCATCCCTTCGTTCTGTATCCTCGCTAAAAGGTCCCCTCCGGTCCCGAGCTCCATGAGCATGTATAACGAATCTCGGTCCGCGTACACCGCTTCCAATCCAATTATATGTCCCGAGCCCTTTCCGCGAAGTTTCGCCATGATTTCGATCTCCCGCCGCGCCGCGGCGTGCGCGTTCTCCCCGCACGCGGCTCGCGATACGCGCTTGCATGCGAACTCGCGCGCGGTTCGGCGGTCGACGAGGCGCCAGACGACGCCGTACTGCCCCTTGCCGAGCACGTCGACTGCGGTGAAGTTCGCGCGAAGCGCGGCGGTTGGGAGGAGTTCGATGCGGTGCTGATGGTGATGGTGTGAGGATGCTGAAGTTGACCGATGCTCCATGACTGTATACTATTGGTGTGAAGATGCTATTTGTGGCAGCAAGAACTCTCCTATGAAGGACTCGCGGTCGCGGCTGAGTAGAAAGAAAACGATTAATCCGTAATTATTTTCGCTGAGCTTGGGCAGAGCAGAGTGGCTAGAGCGAAGTCAGAAGTCTTGGAATACGAGTTCAGACAACTGGAGCCACGGCGATTCACGAGTCTTATGAACCTTGCATTGGATGCTAACACTAAATATCGCTGGGTCAGGATGTGAACGACTTCAAAGATGTAACCAGTGGGGTACGCGATCGGCGACAAACGACGACTGGTGGAATAACTGTGACGCGATATGCGGAGGTGGAGGGGGCGCGGATTTCTGGCAATGGGGGTGAATGGAAGGTAATTCTTTCTGGTTTGGTGCGAGTGAGAGAGCAGATGCAACAGCAGGGTGTGGAGTGCATTGCACCGCTTCGGACCACAGCGCAGCGCAGCTGTCACCCCGCGGCCGGTGGTGATGGGGGAGGTGGGTTTGCCTTGCCAGCTGCACCGCGCTGCACGCGGCGGGCAACCGCACTGGCTTGGGATGGGCGCGCGCTTCGCTATGCTCCGCTCAACTCAACAACACGCCGCGCGCACACCGAAGTTATATCAAGTCAAAACACTTCCCTCCCCCTACGTGCCGTACCCAACCACGCTACCCTGCTTCTCTACCGTACCCACTTGTTCCGTTCCGTCAAAACAGCTGCCCAGCCCTATCCCAACCTCTTGGCGCGGCTTGGCCGAATAGTTCGTTTCGGTAGGCCCCCTTCGTTTGCTCGTCCAGTTCAGATCGTTCGTTCCTTCATTCCGCTCGGGCGTGGCTGACCCCTGCCCGTACCCGCAAACAGTTTGCATACCTGCCCCAAACCATCCCCCCATCTCCCCTCATCTCTCCTCGTGGAGAACGAAACGCCCACTTCGACATTTCAAACGGGCTGCCTGCCTCTGGCCAGTGGTATTGTTTTCCACTGGGCAGGTGGAGTGCATGCAACGGGTTGGGCTGATGGGAAAAGCTTTCGGCTGCTTTCAATTCAAGTCAGCCACTCGCTGCCCCCAGGGACATTCGGTTTGGTTGTTCAAACTCTTTGATTTGCTAACGAAATGTGGCTGCGGGGGTGGCTGTTGCCTTCCCATGATTACGAAATGGTGAGTGTCGGTGCGCAGATTCTTTTCTGTTGCATCACGCTCACGCTCCAGTCAGCACAGCACTGCAAAAACCGAAGAACGAGGTTGAACACCCCGCACGGTCAATTACGTTTTGACTGGTACAACTCAGCGACAAAAAGGGCGTGTGGACGCGTGGCACGGCAGCTGTGAAACAAACTGCTTGTCACATGGGATTAGACGGACCGTCGGGAAAACCAGACGGTTGTCGTCATCCGTCAGCCAGGGGTCGTTGGATTTGGGGACCGCCGATGCGACATGACAACTGTCGAGCTTTTGAAGGAGCTATTCAACTCCACACTGCCAAAACCGAAAGCCACCGTCAAGTGCGGAGCATTCCTACTTCGCCCAGCCCTGTTCGGTTCAGTCTGGTCGGGTCAGGTCAGAGGTCGGATTATGCCCCGCCACAACGCAACTGCAATGGTCGTACTAACTGGTATCATTTTGTAGTACTTTCTTGAACAGATTGTAATGGGAACGGCACGGCAGTTCTCTGTTACGTTGAAACTTGGAGATGTAAGGATTTACAAATCCTTACTGAGGCACTCGTTAGCGAGGCAATCCCGAGGGTCACGCGACGAACCTGTCTTGCCTATTTCGTCGCACCGAACCACCCCCGTTCGGCCTCCGCTCCAATCGCAACCATCACCGAGCCATCCCATACCGAACCCCCCGCCTAGCTAGGTTTTCCCCTATTTAGGCCTCGCTACTTCATTGTTTCTCCATTCTGTAATTCTCATTCTCGATATTCTGCGCACTCTGCAAGTTCATTCATAACAGGAGGGCGCTTGGTGACCCAACTATTATTGTAGTACACTCTATTTAACAGACAATGAAGCAAATCGGCATACTAACTACAACTAAATATTTAACAAGATGTACCATGATCAGATGCCATAGTAGCTGCCTGCACACCAGTTATGGCAATCGTGGTAACCAGGTCCCTCACAGTATCGCTATTTGTCAAGTCACTGACAGGCCGCCTCAATCCCTGCAGTACAGTCCCCATCGCTACACCTCCCGATGTCCGTTGCTGCTTGTACATATCCGTGCTGCTGTGCATATCCGGGAAAATCAGCACTGTAGCTTTCCCCGCCACATCCGAGTTATCACAAATAATGGACCCGCCACTTCCTTTATTGTCACCCACGGCGGTGTCATATGGCAGAGGCCCTTCGACTGCAAGGCCAGGCCGTTGCTCCTTCACTATATGCGCCGCCTCCTCTATTCTCTCCGTGAGACGACCTGGGAGGGGAGATGAAGGGGAGGTAGGGTGGGGGCAAGGAAGTAGTAGGGAGGGGATGATGCAAGAAGGGTGGGATTGAGTTAAGGTCTGATGTGTGTGACATCTTTATTACATCAGGAGTAAGTAATGAAGTCAGTACAACGGACCAGGAAACACCCGCTCTTCTGTCCGTTTCTTCCCTCCCTCCCCACCATCCCACCCCCTTTCCCCTCCCCAATCCCCCCCTTCACCGTCGAACCCCCCACACCCCTCCAGCCCCCCAACCTTCCCTCCCATGCTCCTGGTGTGTCTTTCCCTTATCCCCTCACCTCGAGCCATTATCCTTTATCCCCTCACCTTGAGCAGCACGGGCAGCACCCTGCTGGCTTGCTTGTGTGGACAGCAGAGCGACACGTGGCTCCACGCCAAAGGCTGCCGCCGTGTCAGCCGATGACATGGCGATCATCGCAAGCTCCTCAGCCGTTGGATCGGCAGTGGCGATCCCATTGGTCGGCGCCGAAGCGCCCAGGCTCGGGGCCACAGCTGTGGAGCTGGAACCAATCAGAGGAAGGGTGTTTTCCGCGCTGTCTCCATAAACCAGCACTTTATCCGGGAGACACATGAAAACTACCCCCGAAACCACAGGCATTTCCGGGCGCGTCTTGATCACCCCCCGCACAATCCTCCCGTTCCCGTTCGGCCGAATCCCGCCGACCGCCATTCCGTCCGCCTCACCAGCAGCAACCATCGCCGAACCAAACGACGCAGGGTCGGAAAGAAGCAACCGCCGAGCCTCCTCCACGCTCATCGTCACCCCCCGCTCCAGCTGCGCCTGGCAAATCAACTCCACGTACCGATCCAGGTCCGGGCTAGCTCCGGGATCGACAATATTAGCTCCGGATAAATCCACGCACTGATTTTTCGCCTGCAAAAGCACCTCCTCGGGATTCCCGAGAAGAGTCAACTTGCAAAGCGATCTTCTCAGGACCTCCCCCGCCGCTTGCACCATCTTTGGCTCGGTCCCCTTCGCCAGGACCACGTGGGATTGAGCCTCCCGGGCCTTGGAGAAAATTTCGCACTCGAACACGCGCGGGGTGACGTGCGCGGGGTGGGCGGAGGAAGCTTCCTGGAAGAGGATGCGGTGGATGGCGGGCGTGTCGGCGTGTTCTTGGAAGAGGTCCCGGGCGCGGCGGATTTTGGCCGGGGAGGAGGCGTGGAGGGCGGAGTGGGCGCGGGCGATTGAGAGACAGATGACGTGCGGGTCGAGGGGGGAGAGGAGGACCGGGAGCGAGGCGGACAGATTGGTGGACTGTAGGAGAGGGATAATGGGAAAGGGGGAGGGGAGGGACGGGAGGGAGGGGGGAAGGAGGAAGAGGGGTATAGGAGAAAGAAATTAGAATGAGAATTCCTAAAGGGCTCTTGGAAGAGGTCCCGGGCGCGGCGGATTTTGGCGGGGGAGGAGGCGTGGAGGGCGGAGTGGGCGCGGGCGATTGAGAGGCAGATGACGTGCGGATCGAGCGGGGAGAGGAGGACCGGGAGCGAGGCCGACAGGTTGGTTGACTGTGGAATGGGGGACAGCGGGAAGGGGGAGGGGAAGGGGTAGGGGGAAGGAGGAGGGGGAGAAGGGGAGAGGAAGGGAGGGAGGCATGGGGAAAAAGTGAGATGAGAATTTCGTTGAAGCTGGTGCGTGGGGCGAGCGGGGAGAGGGGGAGCGGGAGCAAGGCTGACAGGTTGGTTGAATGCAGGTGAGAAGTTGGGGGAGGAAGGAGGAAGGGGGGAGAGAGAGTGGAGGGTGATTGTGGGGTGGGAGGGTGTGGGGGTGGAGGGGGAAGATTGCCAAGGAGGAAACCATGAAGGATAGGTGCTGGGAGGGGGACAAGAGAATCACACAAGAAAGGGAGCGCATGCAGTAAGAGGTGGAAAATAAAACGACAAGTATTATATAGATCAAGAGAATAAAATCTTACCCTTATCATGTGGTCGATGGTGAGAGTCGGTGGCGTGCCACCAGATAAGACAACCGCCGCCACCCGCTTGTCAGCTTTCGCCTGACTGAGCTGCATTGCCCCCAGGAGCACGTCCGTGTCGCTCGCGTGCGTTACAATGCACACTCCGCCCTCGCTACTGCCACTGTACACCCCGTTCTCGTTATAGTCACACGCGCTCGGTATTTCATCCACCAGCTCGTGAAACGGCGCCGTCGCCACGATCGTTTTAGTCACATCCATCTGTGACGCCTTGGACCCCATTCCCAGGTGGCGGCTGACGTCGTACATGCTGGGTTCTGACGTGTCATGGCTGCCGCTGACGTGGCGGGATGTAGCTGCGACAGCTGGAGTCATTGCGGGAATGCTGAAAAAGTAGCTGCTACTGCTGCTGCTGCTGCGGCTGCGGCTGCGGCTGATGTTGATGCGCCTCGTTCCCGCCACTCCAGCCGCAGCAAAGGAAGATTGCGGCCCATATAACACCTCCCCCAGAACAGCCCGTCTCAGTTCCTCTACCGAGAGTGACTGTAACGAGGAATCTTCTGGTATTATTCCGAGCACCGGGATTGGCTGATGCTGGTGATGCTCTGACGGGCGGATATACGCCTGGGAGCGCGAGTGGGCTTCGATATAGTCACGCAGGCGCGGCCCGGACCGGGAGGCTGCCCGGGAGGCGGAGGCGGGGCGGGAGGGGAAGCGGAGGGGGTGGGCGGAGCCGTGGGCGGAGCGGAGAGCGGAGCGGGGGGGGGAGGGGGAGCGGGGGCGCATGGCCGCGGAGTGCGGGGAGCGGAGGGCGCCGCGGGGGGAGGAGGGACGTTCACCAATGGCGTTACTACGAGTGGTGGTTGTGATACCACTGTTGCTGCTACGAGTATTGAAGCTGTCACTGGGCGCGCGGTAGATTAAGGAGCCTGCCACGTGGACGTGCGTGCTCCGTAGGATGCGCGCGTGGTCCAGCATGCTCTGCGCGGCGTCGGCTTCCCAGTCGATCTCTTCCATGGTGAAGTTTGGCTGCGCAAAGGGGGGAGGCGGGGGATAAGGGGAGGCGGAAGGGGGGAAGGGCGGAAAGAGGGGGCGTTAGGATGCGCGCGTGGTCCAGCATACTCTGCGCCGCGTCCTCCTCCCAGTCGATTTCCTCCATGGTGAAGTTCGGCTGCGCAAAGGGGGGAAAGGGGGGGCGGGAGGAGGGGGAGAGAATAAGGGGGGCCCGGGGAAACGGGGGAATCGGGGTGCATGCTCCGGCGAGTCGCCGCGTCCGCCTCCCAGTCGATCTCCTCCATGGTGAAGTTTGGCTGCGCAATTGGGGGAGGGATATGGGGAGGGAATAAGGAGAGGCGGAGGGGGAAACCGCGGGGAACGGGGGGAATTGGGTTGCATGCTCTGCGCCGCGTCCGCCTCCCAGTCGATCTCCCCCATGGTGAAGTTTGTCTGCAGGGGGGGATGCGGTGGGGGAGGGGGAAGGGTGAAGGAGAGGGGAAGAAGAAGAGGTCGGGAGGAGAGTGGGGAGGAGAGGGGGTAAGAGAGGGGGGAAAGGTGGGGGGGAATGGGGAGATTTGTAAGAATGGTCAAGATTATTTGATTTGAAAAACGCGACGGGGAAGGGAAGTCGGGGACGGGGGAACGGGCGGGGGGGCGGGGGGTGGGGGGAGGTGGTAGTAGAAGTTTGAAAGTTTGAAGAGCGGAATTGGGAAAAGAAGCAGCGAGGGGAGGGGCGAGCAGGAGGGCAGGAGAAGGGGAGGAGAGAAGAGGAGGAGAAGAGAGGAAGAGAGTAGGAGCGGACATACGTGGCTGGACTCAGCAGCAACTCGCGCGTCCGTTAACAGTATCGCAGGCGCTCCTAACGCGGACGCAATCAGCCCATTAACGGGCGCCGAGATAGTCCCGTCTTTTAACGACGTCCCCTCCACCACCATAAAATCGTGCTCGCGTCGGCACCGCTCGTATGACATCAGCACGTCATCGAGTAAATCGTCCACGCGATTCGCGTGTAGCAGAGTCGTCGCGCGGTCCTGCGTAACGCCGTACATGTCGCGCGCGGGGGAGGATAGGCGGAAGATTTTCCGCATCAGCTCCGCGCGGTTTCCGCCGTGCGTGGTGCAGTCGATCGGGCGGAAATATCCAATGCCTGGGCAAAGCGGCTCGAGCGCGTGAATCAGGCCGACGGTAACCGCGGCGGCTTGCACGTTGGAACCCACGCTGCGATTGGATAGTAAACCAAAGGATAAAACATGTCAGACAAAAATTGATTGGAAGATAAGTGGGTTTTAATATTTTTTTCTTGTGAGGAAAAAGAACGACGCCGTATTTCCACCCTAAGGTATCAGAAGCTGCAAGAAGTGATTGTAGCTTTGTCGTTTTTCGAGAAAATCTCGATAATAGCTGTTACTGTTGACGCGTACTTGGTGTGATGGAGGTAGACGTTGTCCGAACCTCCAATGCCACTGCTTGCAGCGGCCTTATCGGACGGCTTATTGGCGCTTTCTACGGGGATGTTGCCGCCAGACGCGGCGGTACCGGCGCTGAAGCGTCTCGCGAACGCCAGTGGCGTGAGCTGCGAGAAATCGAGATCAACAGTGGACGAATACGGGGCTTGCGTGAAATCGAACGGTGCGCCGCACGTGGCGGCGCCGGGGGCAGCAGCGGCGGCATCCGGGCGGCACTTTTTCCACACGCTGCCCCACCTCCGCGCCGCGACGCCGCCCATTCCGCCTGCAGCGGAAGCGGCGAGCTCGCTGAACGCGCGATTGGCGGCGTGGCGCTGGAATTGCTGCGCCGCATGCGCGGCAAATAAGCGCAACATGATGCTGGGAGATCGGAGGAGGCGCGGCGACGACGACGACGACGGGCGCAACGAATGAGACGCGGGCGACGACGAGTGAGGGAATCAGGGAGATACGTCTGTTTGTTAGGCGCTTGACAATCACGAAATTGAGACGACGGGACGATGGAGACGCGACAATCGGCGGAGAACGGCGATTGCATATGACGGTTGTCGAAATTGACGCAGAGAATTTCAAATTCGCGCAGGAATGTGTCGACGATTTTCTACGGGGCCTTTTTGTGCGTTACTGCAGTCGATTATCTACAGGTGGCTTTACCCAGCACTGTGTATTTACGAATACGGACCGCGGGTTCTGCTCGTTCCAAAAATGCGGATGGGAGTGACAGAGGAGCAAATTGAGATCCCTAAAATGGTCTAGAAAGTTGAAGGGAAACGGGATGGGGGGGTGGGGTCGGGGGGGAGGCGGCATAAGGAAGGAGAGAAGGAACTGGCGAGAAAGACACGCCAGCATTGCAAAGTTGAAGAGCTTCTGCTCTTGGGGACAGCAGTGTTCATGCTCATCCTTCTGTTGCGGGCAGAAACAAGGAGCTGTGCGTGTCTACCATACACAGTACAGTCGATCGATAGACAGCTATGGCGGAATGGAGCATTTAGTTGGCTGGCATGGCGGGGAAATCGAATGACGAATGACGGGCATGGTGTTTCGAGATTGCTGTTGCTGAAGGCTGCTTTGGCTTGGCTTGAATGCCAGCATTACGACGACGCGCTCCGTGCGAGCAACGCGGAAGGATATTTCGGCCTGCAAAAATGGCTATTTGTCAGCAATCAGGGCATTTTGTTGGTGAATTCATTCCGAACCATAGTGACAAACATGACAAGGCGGTGATAAACACGGTGAACTTATAAAACACTTTGTTAAACTTATTTGATATGAGACTGCAAGTCCCACGACAAGGTGACCGCCTCGTGATTGCTCAAAACACAATTCTTTGCGTGAAGTGCGGTAGCGAATGGACGTTAATTCTTACCTGCCAATCACAAGCATCGCAGAGGTCTCGTGGAAAAAAAATAACGTGCCGTGAGACTTGCGTGACCTTGAAATCATAGTGGTCCACCGCTAGAATTCTGCCACTTTATCCTGCCCTGGCTCCAGCTGGTCAGGAGGAGTCACACCGTAGCAACTGTTTCTGTCCACGATGTTCGCGTCATAAATAAAAATCGCCATGTCAGCAATTCTCAAAAGCACGTCCCTTGGAGTCAACCCAGGTCGCATGCCACGCAACAGGCTCCAGACTTCGCCCACCACTCCAAATTGTCGTAATCGCGTGCCACGGTACGGAAAGCTGCCCAGCAAGGAGGGAAGATCATGACTTCTGCTGAGCTGTTCCACGTAATGGATAAGGCCAATCAAGGCTGGTGCTTTCCGCGTGGAAATCGAGTGTCTCCAGCCCGATAGGTGGAAGAACCACTGTGTGCCACGTGATCTCCAATCCGACCGGGTGGTGCACAGTGGTTCTTCGCGTGGCAGTGGTCCTGCCACCTCTCGATTTGGGAACACAATACCGTTGTATCGAGGTGCATGATACACCGTAAGGGCGTATTCCTCTCCTCGTGTCATCCGGGCTTTGTATCATCCGAAATTGTGGGATCCAATCGGAAAATTCAAAACTCGAAAAGCGGATTTTCCGATTAGCTCCCACAATTTCGAATGACACAAAGCCCAAATGACACGGAGCCAGGAATACGCCCTAATGCTCACTCAACCGCCCACTCTGAACACTCCCACTGCCACTCCATACTCCCAGTGGTCTACATTCACAGCCAACGGCCCGCTCGTTACTGGCCCACAACAAAACCAGGATATTCTTGACCTCGAATAAGTTGTTCTAGTTTTCCAGACAAAACAATCCATAGCCTTGTAAAGATACCATCCAGCATCACAGAGAAATAAAGAAAAAAGAACTTCCCATAGGCCTCTGAGTTTCTCATCACACACGCATCCATACGGCATGTATGACACAATCTTATGCAGAACCGCCCTGCCTGATGCTGCTGGTCTTCATGGCAGCTGCTTGCACGCCCGTGATTGCGATGGTTGTGACTATATCTTTCACAGTGCAACCCCGGCTCAAATCGTTCACGGGTCTCCTCAGCCCCTGCAGCACCGGTCCCATGGCAACGGCTCCCGTGGACTGGACAGGGGGGGGGGGGGGGGGAAGAAGGCAAGAGTGAGCGAGTGGGAGTGGGAATGGGAGGGAAGAAGGGGAGGGAGCACAAAATAGCAGGCAAACTACGGGCCCAGGAGCGAGGGACTCCAAAGTTTTTTCAGAAAGTGTTTTACTATATGTTTCCGAGAAACTTGAAAAGTCTCTCGCGGAAAGTATGAGAGGTAGAATGCGAACGAGAGAATGTATACCCCACCAGCTGCTCTACCCTGCCTGCTACAACTATCTCACCTGCTGCACTGCCTTGTACGTGTTGTTGCCGGTGTTGAGATCCGGGAAGATGAGCACCGATGCCTGGAGGGGCATGGGAGGAAGTGGGGGAGGGAGAAGGGATGGAGTGGGGTAGGGAGAGGGGAGGGAGTGCTATGAGCCGCCTCAAGAGTCGTGTTGTTGCCCGCATTGAGATCAGAGAAGATGAGCTCCGATGCCTGGAGGGGCAAGGAGAAGGGAGGAAGTTGGGCAGGGGAGGGAATAAGGGCTTATGAGGTGCCTCAAGAGTCGTGTTGTTGCCCGTGTTAAGATCCGGGAAAATGAGCACCGATGCCTGGAGAGGAAAGGAGAGGGGAGGGAGTGGGGCAGGGGGAGGGGTACAGGAGTTTAAGAGGTGGGGATGGGATTACAAGAGGGAGAGATCACTCTCGTACTGCCTTGTAGGTGTTGTTGCCCGTGTTGAGATCAGGGAAGATGAGCACCGATGCCTGGTGGGGCCGGGAGGGAGTGGGGCAGAGGAGGGAGGGAGGGGGGTTAAGGAGATTAAGAGGGGGGGATGGGGGAACAGCCTCCCATGCACTGCCTTGTACGTGTTGTTGCCGGTGTTGAGATCCGGGAAAATGAGCACCGATGCCTGGAGAGGAAGCGGCGGGATTGAGGCAGGGAGAGGGGTAAGGAAGATTAATAGGGGTGGATGGGGGAAAGGAGAGACAAAGAGTGAGTGGAGGGTTAAGATGAGGGCAAATGGGCACTCAGGCTGGAGGTGCAGGGGAGGTGTGAGGGAAAGGAGGGACCGGGAGGGAATGAGGGAAGGGAGAGAGAGGGAATGAGGGGATCGAAGTCCAGACATACTCGTAACTAGAAACTCCCGCAGCAAGAAACTCCTTGCACCCACCTGCCCTGCGACTTCAAACGTCTTCCCCTTGAGCTTCGTCTTGGCTGTCTTCATGTTCACAGCAGCACTGGGTACTGCAGCGGCCCCTCCACCATGAGGTGAGGCCTGCACTGCGCTCCACCCCTCCGGTTCCCATATCCACCACACTACACCGCACTCCACCACACTGCACCCACCTGTCCTGCCACTTCAGACGTCTTCCCCTTGAGCTTCGTATTGGCTGTCTCCATGTTCACAGCAGCATCGTACTGCAGCGGCCCCTCCACCATGAGCTCTGGCCTGCCCACCTCCACCGCACTCCACCCATGCGATTACCTGCCCTGCCATGAGCACTGGGTACTGCAGCGGCCCCTCCACCATGAACCACGAGGTCTGCCCTGTGCTGCGCTACACCCCTTAACTTCCCATATCCACCACACTCCACCGCACTGCACCCACCTGCCCTGCGACTTCAGACGTCCTCCCATTGAGCTTCGTCTTGGCTGTTTCCATGTTAACAGCAGCACTGGGTACTGAATGCAACGGGCCCAATATCCCTCCATTTTCCATCTCCACCGCGCTAAACCCACTCGCTCACCTGCCCTGCCACTTCAGAGGTCTTCCCCTTGAGCTTCGTCTTGGCTGTCTCCATGTTCACAGCAGCATCGTACTGCAGCGGCCCCTCCACCATGAGCTCTGGCCTGCGCTGCGCTACACCCCTGCATTACCCATTTCCACCTCACCTCACTCCACCGCACTGCACCCACCTGCCCTGCGACTTCAGAGGTCTTCCCCTTGAGCTTCGCCTTGGCTGTCTCCATGTTCACAGCAGCATCGTACTGCAGCGGCCCCTCCACCATGAGCTCTGGCCTCCACCCCTCCATCCACCGAATCCCACCCATTTCCTCACCTGCCTGGCGCCCTCCCTTTCACCTTATTAACGACTCACCTGCCCTGCCACTTCACTCGTCCGTCCCTTGAGCTTCGTCTTGGCTGTCTCCATGTTCACAGCAGCGTCGTACTGCAGCGGCCCCTCCACCATGAGGTCTGGCCGGCGCTCATGCACGATGGCTGTAGCATCCGCCACCTTCTGAATCAGCGGACCTGCGAGTGAGAGGACGGGGACAGGAGAGGAGAGGAAAGGAGAGCAAGGAAACCATGAATCAGGGCATCATACTGCAGTCCTCCTTCCCGCCCCTCCACCATGAGGTCTGGCCGGCGCTCATGGACTATGGCTGTTGCATCCGCGATTTGGGGGACGGTAGGGTGGTGCATCACAGTCGGTGATCAAGACACATCAACCACCCCTCGTCAAGCATCAACGGCCTCTCCACCATGAGGTCTGGCCGGCGCTCATGCACGATTGCTGTTGCGTCCGCCACCTTCTGAATCAGCGGGCCTGCAGAGGGAGGGGAGGGTAGGGTGGTGCATCACAGTCTGTGATCAGGACACGTCAACCACCCTCCACCATGAGGTCAGGTCAGGCCTCCAGCGCTCATGCACGACGGCTGTTGCGCCTGACACCTTCTGAATCAGCTGGCCTTGGGGAGCAAGGAGACAGAATGGTAGAGGAGAGGAGCGGAGGGTTAGAGAAGAAGAGACGCATCAAGCAGTGAGAGCACAGAGGCTAGTTTAGGAATGAATGCTTTGATCCCCCACGGTCCCACCCACCTGTGCTGGAGTCCCCAGTCAGTGGCATACGACAGCAG